ATATATATATATATATATATATATATATATATATATATATAACATATTATGTCTGAATACTCAAATCTGAATCGCTGCAATATTCCTCAACTTGAGGTGGTAACGTTGTTTAAGTAAGGCTATGTTCACACTGTCAGTTTTAGGGGATTGACAACAGCATTTACTTACAGGTGTGAGTCTCGAAATGTCACGTTCACACATGACTTACAGTAGCATCTTGAATATGAATGTGAAATGGGAGTCAAGCCTGTATTCCTTACCAGTTACCATAGCAACAGTGACCAAAGTAATATCAAAGATGGTGACGTCCATAAAACTGAAAGTCTTATAACTTTCTGAGATGACAAGAGTCCAATTGACCCGCAAGTTCATCCGTCAAATCTTCATTAACAGACAACAGCTTTTATGGGTGGAGAGCAGAGCATTTGAGTCACGCACAGAACTCAAAACTGACGCGAGCGGCTCCGGTGGAGACTGGATCTAAAACATTCAGATGACACACAGCTCATTTCTCCGTCACTGTAAGTTACTGAAAACACGCAACACACGGTATACATGTGTGTGTGCAGCAGAAGCGTCTTTCTCACACTGTATGACGTGACAGACAACTAGCATGTTTTCCGAGAATGTGGTTGTGAGTCCTGAAAATTTACGGGTGTGAGTATATGCATATATGTGCATATATGTGTGTAAATTACTCTCTCTCTCTCTCTCTCTCTCTCCCACTTTGCTTCCTCTCTGTCCTATCCAAATAAAGGCATAAAACATCAAAAATAAAATCTTAAATAGATGTACTGGTGAAGAAAGTGAACTTGGAACAAAACTGAGATCTGTTCTACATATTTTTGATGATATGACAAGTCCTTCAACCACAGTACTCTAGTGGGGACCTGGAAACAGATTTCGGTGTTCTCTGACAATCTGCATAATGAACTGCATAATGTTTGTTCTTCAGTCTTTGAGGAGTCCGTTGTACTCTTGGATAAGAGCTACACCTCTTTCTTGCATTTGCATTGTTTGCCCAGGTATCAGGATCTTCATTTAGGAAGATCTGATGGAGATCAAGAATATTGAAGAAGTTGCGAGTGTTCTGCCATTGTTGTGACTTGTTGCCCAGTATAGTAATCCATACTCAGAATTAGTGCTCTGCATTTAACCCATCCATTAGGCCACAACTGCCCCTACTTCTAGTGGAGAAACAAAAGGGGCAGCTGTGGCCTAATGGATAGAGAGTCGGACTCTCTCTCTCTCTCTCTCTATATATATATATATACAGTGGGTACGGAAAGTATTCAGACCCCCTTAAATCTTTCACTCTTTGTTATATTGCAGCCATTTGCTAAAATCATTTAAGTTAATTTTTTTTCCTCATTAATGTACACACAGCACCCCATATTGACAGAAAAACACAGAATTGTTGACATTTTTGCAGATTTATTAAAAAAAGAAAAACTGAAATATCACACGGCCCTAAGTATTCAGACCCTCTGCTCAGTATTTAGTAGAAGCACCCCTTTGATCTAATACAGCCATGAGTCTTATTGGGAAAGATGCAACAAGTTTTTCACACATGGATTTGGGGATCCTCTGCCATTCCCTCTTGCAGATCCACTCCAGTTCTGTCAGGTTGGATGGTAAACGTTGGTGGACAGCCATTTTTAGGTCTCTCCAGAGATGCTCAGTGAAAAATTTAAGGGGGTCTGAATACTTTCCGTACCCACTGTATATATATATATATATATATATATATATAGTTTTGTTAATTATTATTGATTATTGTTATAATTAATATGAATTAAATGTTTAATTAACATTGGTTATAATGGCTCTATCTATCTTATTATATTTTTATTATATTTAATGTACAGTGTAATTAGAGTTTTTATTAAGTCGATCTGTTAAACGTTTATAAACTTTTGATATAGACTAAAAGCCACAAAACTCCTATTTTGGGTCTTTAAATAATCATCTTTAAACTCAAAATAATCCAAGCAAAAATTAATAAAATAATTCCCAGTACATAACAGAAAATCCATGCATATGAATTGGACAGAAATATTAAATACCCCTCATTCTCTGTTTGCGAACACAAACACCAGATGCTGCAACAGAAGGTGATGTGATAAAAGTGACAGCGTGGCCTACCTCTGGGGAGCGTTCATGAAAGATTGCATTTGTCAAGTCAGACTTAGACTAAAAGGTTTTTTTCTGCTCATATTGGTCTTTTCGGGAGAGCAGATAAACTTGGCTTGTATTTTTATGACACCTCGTGCAGGTCAGAGACAGCCGAGCGGCCCGTCGAGGGAGTGTCGTACACCGGAACCGCTTGGAGGAACTCTATCCATCCGATAATCCCGAGTGAAAGGAAGATAAGGTGTCCTCTTGGGGAAGTTCGCTCAGAGATACTGTCAGAACTCTTTGTAGAAACTCTCTCTGGTCGGATGGTTTTTTGAAGTTCTTTCTAACTGCACAAACAGACCTGACGTGTCTATTTGGCCTGAAGATGGACTGATGCTCCAGATGTGTCTGACACGAGAGGATTAAGGGAAATACTTTTTTGCTCGTATTGATTTCTTCTTTGCAGGAGACGCAGAGCTGAGCTGTGGTCATCATGCCACACGCGAGTCAAAGGTGAAATGTGTTTGCAAAAACCAAAATGCACAAATGCTGCTTTTACAGTCAAACAACTGCATTTCCCCCCCGATTTTACCTCTAAAAGTGATTGGACAGTCATTCCCTGCTGTGTGGCACCTGTTTTGCCCAAATGCAATTGATAACGCATACACTACTGGTCAAAAGTTTGGAACAATTAAGATTTTTTTCATGTTTTATAAAGAAGTCTCTTCTGCTCACCAAGGCTAGATTCATTTTATCAAAAGTACAGTAAAATTTGTGATATATTATTTTAATATAAAATAACTGTTTTCTATGTGAATATATTATTAAATGTAATTTATTCCTGTGATTCAATGCTGAATTTTCAGCATCATTACTTCAGACTTCAGTGTCACATGATCTTCAGAAATCATTCTAATATGCTGATTTGCTGCTCAAGAAACATTTCCTATTGAAAACCGTTGTGCCGCTTCATATTTTTGTGGAACTCGTGAGTTTAATTTTTTTTTTAAATAAGAAATTAATACTTTTATTCAGCAAGGATGCATTAAATTGATCAAAAGTGACAATAAAGTCATTTACAATGTTATAAAAAAAATTATATTTTAAATACATGACGTTCTTTTGATAATAACTGATAATAATTGAGCAGCAAATCAGCATGTTAGAATGATTTCTGAAGGATCATGTGAGACTGAAGACTGGAGTAATGATGCTGAAAATTCAGCTTTGATCACAGGAATAAATTGCAATTTACAATATATTCAGATAATTAAAAAAAAACAGTTATTTTAAATTGCAATAGTATTTCACAATATTCGCTTATAGATAAACATATGTAAATAACATAAATATTCATGCATGTAAAAGAAAACTTTCCAGTGCATCCCAAATGTATAATAAAAAAGATCAAATATCCAGTCTCTCACCCTTGATGTCCCATAGTGTGAAATGGCGGTTGTTGGTGGCCTCGGGTGCCAGTGTGAAATAGAATCGATGTCCAGACTGCGGTTCGTCTCTGTCCACCACACTGATGGTGTGAATGAGCTGGAGAAGAGACAGAAAGACAGAAAATGTTTAGAGATTGAAATAAATAATTGGAGAGAATGCTGGTGTAGTGTGTGCGTATATATATATATATATATATATATATATATAAAATATATATATACATACACACACACACATACATACATACATACATACGCACACACTTATTTTCCTTACACTTGTTTTCACTTATTTTCCTTGATTAATATTAATTTCTGTGCATACTAATTCCTTTTTTAACAGTAAAGTTATATGCTAACATTAGCTGATGCAATATGAACTTAAAAATGCATATTTATAAATTATAAACTTATTTTATAAAAAAATTTAAATACTCATCATCACTGTTGTTTATGATAGCTAATGCATTTCATCATTGCATTTAATGGTTTCACATGCTGCATAACATTTTGCACAGCTTTGTACAGGTTAAATATAGCAAATTATGCAAATTTGAATATACAGTGTATTCAGAAGATTTTGCATTCACAACGCACACTATAAATGACTGTGCAGGAGCTGCTCACCTCCTTTCTTCCAAAAAATCACATTTTGTCATATTATGCTAAAACTACACCGAGCTGTCTCGGCCTGCTAGGCTTTCGAATTACAGTTTCTGTGATAAATCAGAAGTGCGAGGCGGAGAAGTTGTTGTGGCAGTGAGAGTGGGTGTACTTGTGAGCGGCATCGGGCCCAGTCACTACATTAGCCGGATTGTGAGACAACAGATGGGAGCGTTTAGGAGAGCGAGAGGAACATAAAAAAGATCAAATATCCAGTCTCTCACCCTTGATGTCCCATAGTGTGAAATGGCGGTTGTTGGTGGCCTCGGGTGCCAGTGTGAAATAGAATCGATGTCCAGACTGCGGTTCGTCTCTGTCCACCACACTGATGGTGTGAATGAGCTGGAGAAGAGACAGAAAGACAGAAAATGTTTAGAGATTGAAATAAATAATTGGAGAGAATGCTGGTGCTTTACTAAGTGAAAAACTCACACTGAAGGAACTTCAGCCAGACTGCATGACTACTCATATTTACTAGTCGACTATTCATCCAGAAAAGTAGCCGACAAGTCAATATTTACCTCATGTAAATGACTCACTTCTGGCAAGTCGAACAGTGTGTGAGTCTAGGGAACGGCCACGGCTGAGATGATGCGGCTGACAAACCAAAGCGTGCATATCTGCATTTCCAGGTTCATGCAGCTGCTGTTGTCACAAACACAAGTCATGTTCCCCTCACTCGAGTTCCTGTCAGCCTCTGGCCAACATCTGATAAGCTTGACAGCGCTTTGCAATAATTCTGGCTTCTATGTGACTCTCTAAATGCAATCAGATCATCTCAGATGAATGCAACTCCATTTATAACATTCTGTGTGAATGCAAAACACTCTGAGCTCACAGGACTTTCACTTTTGGGTAATTCAAATGGTTCCAAATCTATTCGGGAGTTACTGTACAAAGTTGCTGTGCAACATGTTACATAGATGCATAAAAAACAGACTAATGGCAGAACTAAAGGACCAGTCAACTTGCTGCATAATATGTTTTTTGCATAACAGCTTTGCACAATGGTTAAATATATCTAGATAATATATATAAATATATAATATAAATAAATTAAGTAAATTTCCTTTGGAGAAGTTGTTGTGGCAGTGAGAGTGGGTGTACTTGTGAGCGGCATCGGGCCCAGTCACTACATTAGCCGGATTGTGAGACAACAGATGGGAGCGTTTAGGAGAGCGAGAGGAACAGAGGAGCGGCGGAGAGGGAGTGGGCGGCACTTCAGACAATCCCGCGAAAAATTCCCATATTCTCTCATTGCTCATTTCTCATTACACGGTCATCAAAAGGCTCGCACGGCGTTTATGTCAAATTTTAGGGAGGTGATAGAAAATCCAAGTGTAATTAGAGGAGACGGGGGGAAAAAAAACCTAAATTACAATTCTTTTTGCAAAGTCTTTCCTGCTACCTAAAGTCAGCGAGGAACACTCACGCTTGCTCGGATTGGAAAATGAAAAGGAAAGAGGCACACACACCAGGAAAGTGAAAGCAAGGACAAATGCTTGTAAGGCACAGCCATATACTCAAAGGAGACCCCACACTAACACTGATGTTTCCCCTTCAAAATGATTAAAGCTGCAGTTTCCAAGAGAGGCAAAGTGCTTGTGTTTAAGCCTCAGTCCTCCAGGACGCGCTCGCTTTGACGGGCTCCGCTTTGAAAGAAATAGTTTGCACAAAAATAAGCATTCTGTTCACATCGTGTCATTTTAAACCTGTATGCCGTTATTTTTTTTGCGCAGCCCTTTTTCATGCATGGCTGTCGAGCTCTAAAATGACAAAAAAAAATAAATAATTATAATAAATAAAATTAAAAGTAGAGGAACAGGAGCCCTCCGTGGGCTATACTCGGGAACAGGAGCCCTTTGTGGGCTTAACGGGAAATCTGGAGCCCTTTCTGGGCGGAACTGGGGATCAGGAGCCCGTCCTGGGCTAAATGAGGAATCAGGAGCCCTCCCTGGGCTTAACTGGGGGTCAGGAGCCTGCCCTGGTTTAAACGGGGAATCAGGAGCCCTCCCTGGGCTTAACGGGGAATCAGGAGCCCTCCCTGGGCTAAACGAGGAATCAGGAGCCCACCCTGGGCTTAACGGGCACTGGAGGGCGCTCTGGAGGAGCAGGCACAGCAAAGCACTTTCGAGGAGCTGGCACGGGAGCGAGCTCCGGGGCTGGAGCCGACACTGGAGCGGCCGGCGGGCTTGCTATAGGAGCAGCCGACGGGCATGATAACGGCACGGCCAGCGCGCTGGAATTCGGTGTGGCCAGCGAACTTGACTTCTGAGCAGCTGGCAGGCTTGTCTTCGGCGGTCTTGACTGAGGAACGGCCGGCGGAGGGGTTCCGGATCGGAGCCTCTCTAGACACCGGATGACTGTCTCCTTCCAGTCGAGGTCGGCGGTGTCTGAGCTCCATGGGTCATCTCGAGCCGGAACAGCGTCACAAGGGTCTTCTCGCAAAGACAATCAGGTCGGGGCTCGCCTGAGCCATGGCGATGAACAAGGCTCATTCCTCCATC